CGGCCGGAAACCGGCTGCCGAAAGGACAGCCTCCAGAAAGCGATGGTCAACCCTATCGAAGGCCCTGGACTGATCCAAATTGATCAGCGCGGCTTCTCTGTCGACTTGCTCGATGATCAAGCGTACCATATGAAGTTTGTCCTGAATAATCCTGCCCTTCACATGACAAGTCTGTTCTAAGCCAATCAGACTAGAGGTGATATCCTGCAAGCGGTTCGCTAAGACCTCAGCCAAAATCTTTAACTCTGTGTTTAACATAGTTAAAGGGCGAAAGTTACCTAACCCATCCCCACCGTCTTTATCCTTACGTAACAACTTGATTACGCCCCTGGTGAAACGTTGGGGTATAGACCCCTGTTTCATCCAATTGCCGAAAATCAGTGCCAACAAGGGAACAAAAAGGAGCGACTGCTTCAAGTACACTTCTTACGGAAGACCATCTAATCCCGGACATTTATCCAGGCCAACCTGTTTCAGCGCATCCCAGATTTCTGACTCTGTTATGAGACCCTCTTACCTAGCAGTTTCAGCTGCCTCGAGGCAGGGAAAGTCAGCTAAATAGGCATTGAACTGAGCTGGGCTCAGACCGGGCTCCCTGGTGAAAAGCTCTTGAAAGTACTAGATTGAGCCGACGACTATAATTAGCAGCAAACGTTCTAATTTTAGATTTGAGTTTGTCCCACCAGGCATTTCCCACCGCAGCCCCCGTTAGTTACCTCTATATCATTAGTAGCAGCTGATCCCGGAAACCTTGCTCCCCAAATAATAAGCAGTTCAATGTCCATCTTAACCTTAGGCTTATCTAAGTTTACCCCGACCCGGACAAGCCTATGATCCGAATAAACTATATAATGGAAACTTGGACACCCTAAGAGCCCTACATCGACTCTCCTAACAAAGACTCGGTCGAGGTTGCTAGAACGCACCACGGTAGCCGAGCCGCCACTATTAGTCCAAGTCCACACTACCTCCCGAGGGGTGTTCGTTTCGGTACTAATCGACAAGATCAAATTTGTCGATAAAGTCTCGAAACAATTTCACGTTCCCGTTGTTAGTACTCGAATTTGACCCTATGCGATCTATAATCGCCTGCTGAAACTACCCGACGAGATGACGCCAAGAACGGCTCGGTCTGCCGCTCAGAATGCTTATTGGGCGCATAAACCCTAATGAGACGTAGAGTCTTATCCTTTATGGTAACAAACAGCACGCAAAGTCTGCCCGCCGGATTTGCGAAGACAAGAGCACCTCTCGAGCGTCCATCATAACATGCTGAATAGAGGGAAAACCCCCTAGACAGAATGCTGTCATGATCGCGGGAAGAAAAACCATCCACCCCGAAGCGCTGAAGGTCACGATAGAACCTCGCCCTGCGATACTCGGACCTCAGGCCTCGGACATTCAAGCTAGCTAACCAGAGAGCCATAGTGAAAACCGATTAGGGTTGCTCTCCAGGATTGAACATGGCAGGGAACAGGACACCAATGGCCTCTCCCATGGAGACAGTACCCATCTCATTCTTGATGGTGCCATCAGGAGACAGGCGGTCAATGTCCAGGGGAAAAGTTTGCTTAAGAGCTCTATACAGGGAGGGATAAAAGGAAAAGCGGGAGCCTCCCTGTACAAAGTTGATTCAGATTCGTTTCGTTTTCCTTATCAAAATACGCCAATGGCGGGTATACGTCGAACGTGCTATTTGCTTCACGTAACATGGCCTAGATATTTTCTGAGCCATGTCCCGCTCTAACCACAGTTAATACTGTTTTAGCTAGTGGAAAGTTTCTAGGATCTTCAATATCCAAATTATTAATCTTCTTTAAATTTAGAAGAATTTTTAGGTCTTTCGCTTTACGGGATTGTGAGAAAACCCCGTCGGATTGATGTTTTTCAATACAACAGGCATCTTCCCTCTTATTGAAAAGAGTTTTATGTTTAACTTTTTTTTTCTTTAACCGGCTCTGGAGTGTCTAGTGATGGACTGCGTTGCCTCTTTTGTGATTCCGTTTTTGTAGGCGAATTTTTAGGTGTTATAACAGGTGAGGGATGTGGAGTTTTGGACATAGTGGGGGTTTTTAAGGGGAATTTAGAAGATTTTTTTCAGTTGAGTTAATTTCGAAGGCGACAGAGTTATAGTTTGTAAACCTAGCGTTGGGGCCATAGCGGACTGTTTAGAAAATAGAGATGATGGGGATGATGTGGATTTACTTATAATATTTGCAGGTTGTTGTTTGAGGGATCCCTTTAGTTTTAATATTTTTTCGTTTTTTTTCTTCAAAAGACGGCTCATATTTCAGGTGCTGTTGAAGTAGTTTTTCGGCGTAGGTTGCCGAAGAGTCGCCCTTAGTACTGGTAGAGGAAGTGGGGCTGTGTGTGTCATTCGCTGTGGGAACTTCTGTTGAACGAGGTCCCGCTGCCCAGAGCTTCCCTTTGACCTTAGCAACGACCTGCCATTCACTCTCTCCTTTCTCCGCAACCGCACTAGCGGCGGACAAGGCTTTTCGGGGAATGAGGGCTGAGAGACAGACTCAACCGGGGGTCTAACCACACTGATCCCGGTTTCTGGCATGCCCATTACAGGCGAGACGGATGAAACAGACGCAGTCGCAGGGGAATTTGGGTCGACAGGGGCCAGAGTCTCAGAAGCTTTCTTCTCTGTGCCAGAAGAGGACAGGTGACCAGTCTGCCCACTACATCCTTTGGCCCGCTACATCCAGACAGTTGGGGATGGAGATGAAGGATTTCCAGTCTATCATGATCTCAAAACAACCATCCCCCGGTAAAATCGTCAGAGGAAGCACTGAGTATCTGCCGAAATTGGGCCAGATAAGCAGCCAAGTGCTCCCCGACGATCAGAGGAGGAACCTAAAATACTGATACGTGGTCCTACGCCGGCCTTCATATTCTGCAGAATAAGGTCTTTCTGCAGAATATTTCTGTAGAATAAGGACTTTCGTTATAAGGTAGTGAATGGAAACGGCTTCAGAATCGGCAGAGGTGGGTAACAGTACGTCCCACATGAAGAATACCTTTCCTTTGATAACCTTCTGGGAAATTAAAGTCTTAATCACGGTGTCCTTCGTGTAGCGACAAATTCTGCGCGAACGCTTGTCCACCACAAAGACTGACACATTTTTTCTCAACTCTCTTTAATTCCTCAGGATTAACCAAAAGCCCATCTGCTTTCACCAGATGTGCGTAACCTTTGGCTTTCTTGAGGAACTCCGTAATGTTGATTGAACACTTAGGTGGGGACTTCCAGCAAGAGGGCGTCTCTCCGACACCACTACAGTTTCGTCTTTATTTTTGTCTTTTCCTGCTTCTTCTGAATTATTTGGAGTATTTTGGCCACTTTTGGCCTCAATAGCTTCATCGGGTTTAGACTTATTTTCAATATTTTGGCTCTTTTCAGCAACCATACATTCGCTGGAACTATTGACTTCGGCAAAAACTTCATTCTCTTGGGGTTTTTTGTCAGTGGTTAATTGCTCCTCCTATTTATTCTCTTTTTTCCTATCGGGAGCATCTTTTTTTCCCTTTTGATCCCGAAAAGATTTTTTACGGACCATTTCTTTTTAAATAGGGTAGGGGCATTTTTTTTACAAAAACAAAAGACAGAAAACTTTTCAAACAATCAACACAGATTTGAAAAATGGTCACGAACAAAACAAAATAAAAGGAATAAATAAACCAAATTTAGGTATACACAAAAGAATACAGTTAACAATTGCAAAAACAATCAAAGACACGCAAAAATAAACAAAGGCAAATCGAGGTTCGAATACGAACGAACAAAATTTAAAAAGTCATCAAGAAAAAACACAAAATAGTAGGACGTACAAGATTAAATAGACGAGAGACGAGAAACAAATAAGTAAGGTTCGACTCAAGGCGATACAAATTTTAAACGTGAAACCAAAAGACGTACAATAGATAAAATAAACGAAAAATAAATGAACAAAGTTCGCCTAAATGCGAAACAAGTTTAGACAAACGAAAAGGACAACGTAAACAAATAAAATAGACGACAGACGAGAACGAATGAACAAGGTTTGCCTAAAGGCCAAATAAAAAAAAAACAGTCGAAAAACCAAGACAGAAGGACGTATAAAGGAACAAATAAATTAAAGACGTGAAAACAAAATAAACAATAATAAATGATACGCTATACAAAAAAGAAAAAGAAAAGAAAAGAAAACACTGTAAAATACGAAACTCTAAATATGTCACAATTCATAATATGGCTGCCGATAAAAACGGTCAAGCCAAAAACTAAAACGATAAACAAGGAAAATAATGAACCGGATATACAAAATAAACACAAAATTTACAAACAAAAATTTTACAGACGAAATTAACAGATAAAACACAGAACTTTACGGATAATTAAAACAAACAACACAGAATGAAGTGACAGGTAATAATAAACAAAGAAAAATAAAGAAATAACGTAGAAATAAAAATAAACAAATAAACTCTGGGAAGTGGGTACGGGGAGGAAATAAATAAAAAAAAAATAAAAATGGAAAAGGAAACGTAAGAGAGAATGAAAAAGTTAAATAATAAAAGATTTATAGCAAAATAAAGTAAAACTAAAAAATGGGGAGGGTACGGAAATGAAAGTGAAAAAAAAAATAAAATATTTACCAAATAATCAAAAAGGAACTTATGGAAACGGTAAAAATAAATCCAAAACGGAACGGAATAACGGCAGTCAAAGGTTCAAACAATTCTCAGAGTGACAGAAAAATGGTCTAACACGGTGAGAGCTTTATTCAACTGACAATACAAGGTTTGCGTCTAGCGTCTTTTTACAGTCCCAGTAAACAGGTATATCTCTCTCGAAGAGGAGAGTAACAAAACAATGGAAGATCACTCTTGATTATTCAAAACACACCAAATAATTTAATGTGAGAATTATTTTATTAAAATGCTAAGAGAAATCATGATTATTATTTAATAGCATATTATAACCTATATATTTTGTTGTCTTTTAATAACAGTTTGTTTGGGCATCAGAATTTCATCTGCAACTTCTGCTAGACTGTACCTGAGAATCAACGGTAGAACCATCTGGTCCAGGCGTATGGGTAAGTATCTGTGATATTGTACGATCCATGTGAGATGTCGAAGTTACCGTCTTCGGAATTTTTAATCCGCGCTTCGCTTTTGAAAAACAGCACCGACTTGCGACAATGAAGAATTGCGTCTATATATTTTGGTTTTAAATCAACGTATTCTTTAGCAAAGGCCGAGGCTTTCATCAGAATGTTTTTGGTAACAGAAGGATAAAAATTCTTAATATCATAGTTTATGATTATGTTTTGGCTTTTATTATTTATAGCACGAAACTATGCAATACAGTCGGCAATTCTGGTCCATTTGTTTATTTGTGTGGAAACTCTCAGTAGTTTGCATGCACATTTGTGCAACCACAAAAAGAAAGATAATTGTCCTTAAAATGGGGAGTGTTGTAAGCAAGAGGTGGTATAATGCGCTAACGTAGAGAGCGATAATAGTACAGTCAAGAAATATATTGCTTGTACAGAGGCCAGTTTAAAAAGAAATGGTATAACCATACTTCCTAGTTTAGGGCCCAACATGAACGATTTAACACAAGGCTCGCAGACCATTGTTAGAAGTTTAAAAATACAATAAAAGTCCCAATATCAAATGGAAGATTCTACAAGAACGGTCAAAAATAACTGGTGGATCTTGCAATTTATGTCAATAAAAGAAACTAGACATTGCCACATTTTACAGTGAATTGCTTAATGAAAAATCTGAAATAATGGCAAACTGCAGACACTTAAGGAAGTTTATATCAGAGAATTATGAGATGTGATAGGCTGATTGAAAATTTTCCTCTCATACTTTTCCTCCTCGTAAGTTTTGACTGTTTTTATCTATGTTGTCAACAATTAATAAACTGGAACTGCTACCTTGGTTGAAACCACGATTGCATCTTTTTAGCGTTTTAGTTTTTTAAGAATATATATATATATATATATATATATATATATATATATATATATATATATATATATATATATATAGACAGAGAGATAGATACCCATAGGTACATTTTTATCGTGCAATGGTTAAAAATTAACAAATTTTTTGTACAATATAACCTCCTTCTTTTTAAATGCACATGATTCCGTATTTAATATCCATCACAGAGTAGAATGCGGTAACATGAATTAATTTCATCAACAGTTGACGTACGTTAGCATCCCGAACCACTCGTCAGAATGGTCAGAAAAACCTCTTGACTTCTATGTAGAAAGAAAGAAAGAAAGAACGAGCGAGCGAACAATGCTATTGGAAATCTGATATTTGACCTTTATCAAAATCTCTGCCTTGTACGCTAAAACTTTGACGAGGGTCAGATGCAATTACACCAGATTTTTTGTGAGATTGTCTGACGCCACTTGCACCAGAAAATTTAGAAAAAAAAAGAAGATGAAAAAGAGTCGTTTAATTTGTCCTTTTTACAGCCGGATTACAGGCTGATAGACCAGCAATCAATAACTTCTATCTTATAATTCTTACAGAAAGAATGATGAAGAGGTGGGGGAAAAGTAAATTCAGAATTACGTACTGCATATAAAAATTAAAACATTAAAACTGAGAAATTGCATCTAACATCTGAAATCGAAGTAACGTTGAATTTTTACGAATATAAGTTATCCTTGGATCAGATTGCGAAATAAGTTATCCTTGGATCAGATTGCGAAATAAGTTATCATTGGATCAGATTGCGAAATAAGTTATCATTGGATCAGATTGCGAAATAAGTTACCATTGGATCAGACTGCGAAATAAGTTATTCTTGGATCAGTTTGATTGAATATGTTTTAATCATTACATTCCCTTCATATTATTTTGGGTAAAATTGCTGATATGGTACTTTTGTTTATTCAGGTATTCACACCAGGGATTTTGAAATATGTAGACGTCTTGGACCGGTGAAGATCTGCTTCAAACTTTACAACTTACACATTTCCAGACACGATATTAGGATTTGCCTCCATGTCAGCGCAAGACTATCTAGGCTTCGCTTTAGTAAAAACTTAGGATGTATTTATAAAAGGTTTGCCTTGGATGGAATCCCGACAAACATAAAAAAATCAGATTCATTCAATGATTATAGAAATTATAAGAACTCCTTGACTTCAAGTGGATTTAAGTATAACGACAATATTGCAAGATTCGAACAATATCAAAAAAATGGATCGTGGCTCATCCGAACAAAATATTTCCGGTTCAATCCCATCAATATTCCCATTTAAAGTACCAGTGTAATTCTTTTTCAAATAAAATCAAATAAAAATCTCAATTTTGCTTATTGTTTATTATTATTGTTTAGTGTATTCGATCGACAGCCGATAGAATACGCCAGGATGAATTGGTTACCCTTTCGGTTGCCTTTTTGCATATCACTTGCTTACCTGTTTTGTTGTTTATAATTGCAACACCCATAAAAATGCACCTGTGGTAATTGATCCCTATTATTTAATTCAACGCATAAAATCCATTTTTATAAAATGATTTCAACATTTCCTACCGTACAGTTCTTTTATTTTTTGCTCCAAAGTAATCATCACGAATTTTATTTATTTTAATATTGTATCAAGTTTGAATTTTAACATTGTTATCAGATAATATAATAAAATTAAATGTAACACAGTATTCAATAATAAATGTATAATAATAACTCGGGGCGTGATAAAAGTTAAGAAAGCTTTGAGTTTGAATGTGGAGGCACGGTTAAAAAGCTTATTTATAGTATCTAAGTGAGGGATAGTTTTTTCAAGGGAGACATTCGTCATCAAATGATGTAGTCCCTTTTGCTCTATACCAGATTCTCGCCAGTTTTATTTCTAATCATAGAGAATCAATCAAACAAGCGTTCTGCATGCCTTGTTGGAGTATTTGAGCAACTGATTATTTTGTGTAGTCTCGGGCTTAAAGTCTTCCGGGCCTGGAGACGTATCATGTCTGCTTTGTCAGGAGTTGGTATACCCCCATATTCTTCTGCATGCTGGTTTTTCTAACTCTGAAAACAATGAGTGACGATTGGAGGGTGGATGGGAGTTTTTTCTGAGCTAACGATCGCTTGTCCTAATTCAGATCTCAATGTCAGATCTTCCCAAGTTGTTAGCGACTCTGTATCTAAAGCCTCCTCTGAGACTGTATCTGAATCACAGGGCTCAATGCCGACATGTTCGTCTTCAAGTGGCGCAGTAGGACGATGGGATGCGGAATCCTCTTCGGGAGCTATACTTGGTGTCAAATCTCTGAGAGAAATAGTGGATTACTTTCCTGTGAGTGTCGGAATAACACATAATGGGGATTCGCTACATTTAGCTCCACCTCATTTGTTAGTGGATTGTATTTATTGTGCCTGTAGTGGATTGTTAAATAGGTTTTTACATATTTGCATATGTTAGGTAGAAAAGAAATAGAGTGTATTGTTGTGAATATGGATTATCTCCTCTTAGATAATCCAAGCTATACAAGCTGTATACTACTACTCATCTGACCTGACAGCGGAAGTATACAGCTTTATAGCTATATTCACAACATATTATACAGCTTTATAGCTATATTCACAACATGTATAGTAACGAAAGAGACGGGCGGAAGTTGACTAATGATCACGTGTCGTAGAAAAACACAATACAACAATATGGCGTCGCCGATATGATGCTTAAGTCTCTTGGACGAACCTGAATTTGTAGAGACTTGAAACCGTTATTTTGAAGCTCAGACTAGGGCTAAGAATTTGAAAGATAAGGTAAGAGGAGGGAGAAAATAAAATAACTGATCTCTTTCTAGCTTCAGCAGGCCATGAAGCTATAATGAAATTTTCTCTTCAGGCATAGCCAAAACAAATGGATAATTTGAAAATTTCAGAAATTATAAAAAAGAAGTTTACGACCTAAAATGAAAGTTGTCATAGCAGAAAGAATCAGATTCCTGTCCATTAAACTTCGGCGAATCAATTATGCAATATCTTCGCTGATTAAAAGAACCTAGCAGAATCTACGAATTTGAGAAACTTGGAATTCAAGATTTGGTTATTTAGACTGAATTGATTCAATTACCGTTGATTGAATGTATAGCTGACACATTTCATAAATATTGGAGCAATTACATTCGAATAGTTTGTCTCTAACGACATGTGTGGAAGTTATATAACAGCTGGAACTTATTTTTCAAATATAATTCTACTGAGGACAATGAGACAAATAAAAGGCGTTGATGTTCTTTTTTAAATACATAGACCTAAGAAAAAGAATTCATTTGAAAAAATAAAATTACATCACATAACTTTTCCAATGCAAGTAAATATGGTAAGTGAAGTTACTCTGATTCCAAGAAATTTCTGTGAAGAAATAGGTAAACCGAAATTGCGAAAAAAGCCATCTGAAATGGATACAATTTATGGATCTTTTATAAAAACTTTGGCATACTTCAATGGAACTTTTGAAACCCATGACCTATTTGAAATTATCCCTATTAAAGTAGGGGAATGTAAAAAAAAAACAACTCATAGACTATTCGGTATAGATGTTCTAAAGGGAGATATGTCAAAATTAATCAATAGCATAAAAGCAGATAAAAATAAAAATAACAACGTTAATATGCTATAAAGCGAGAATATAATTAAATGAAATATTGCCCCTCCCCCCTGTTATTTTGAATCTCGGAAATGACCTATTCAACTTGTAAATTTGGTATTTGCTAATTTAAAGAAAATTATCAAGGAAAGAATTTTGGAGCATGTACTTCCAGGTGGCAGTAAATGTGACACTGTCATTGTAGACAAAGATTTAAGAATATGTAGTGATTTAAAATAGGCGTAAATCATAAAATATACTTGGATTCTTTTCCTATTTCCAATATTAAAACCGTTATCCAGATATTATTCGATATGAAATGTTTTGCAAAAATTGATTTAAAATCGGCCTACAATCAAATACATATTGATGATAAATTCAAAGAAATTGCTACAGTAAACACCACCATAGGATTATTAAGATGGATGAGTATACTTTTGGAGTGAAAATGTCAAGTATCATTTTTCAGAGAGCAATGGAAAACGTGTTAACTGACAAAATCAGTAATATGATTATTTATCAAAATGATATTTGTTAATAACAAATTAAATAAAATAATAGGACATGTGTTAAACAAATAATAAATGTGGGGATGACAATAAACAGTGACAAATGTGAATTTAATTTTGATACAATATCATATTTAGGGTACCAAATTTCAAAAGATGGTATTGCACCAGATCTAAAAGTTAATTAAGAAAATTTCATAGGTATCTATTCCTACTAATAAAAAAGAATTAGACTTCTTTTTAAGATCAGTTAATCTTTATAATGGATACCTACCAAAATACAGCGACTAAATAGACCCATTTGCTGAACTGCGGTAAAAGAATAGTGAGTTCAAATAGATTCATATTCAAAGCTTAGTATTCAAGGATTTAAAACAGATACTAGCCGAAAAAAAAAAACATTTTAAAAATCTTTGATCCCAGAAATGAAGTTATGTTAACTACGTGTGCGAATGAGTGAAGCTGTGTCAGCAATTTTATCGCAAGAATTCCGTTAATAATGTATACTTCAAGAAGATTGACGGCAGCCAAAATAAATTATTTCAATATTAAAAAAAGAGACATCGGTTTTTTATTAGGTAAGAAGTTCAAATTAAAGTTGGAACATAAACTTCTAGACTTTATTTTTAACCCTTGAAAGGAACTACTAAAATTTCTTTCTTCCAGGATTCTAAGGTGGGCAGTAAATTTAATTTTGACATTGAGTGCGTAAAAGGAAATACAATACCACATTTCGATACGATGTCATAGGGTTATCCAGCAGCCACATCGCCTTGTGGGTGTGGCTGCTGGAAGATTATTATATGTGTGGGGCGCAGTTGTTTGAGAGACCAAAAAAACTCGTAGCGCGAAAGATAATCTGAAGAAAAGAATTATGCTAGCATTCACCAACTTAAAGAAGGAGACCGCACAGAAGAGTTGCAGGAGATTCCGAAGTCGTTTTCATTCAGTAAAATGACGATTTTATTGAATAAATTTACTCTTTAGTATTTCAAGATATTTTTGCGTAATTTTGATAAATATAACTGTAAAAATGAGATATCAGTGTTATTTTCATTTTTGCGTAATTTAGACAACAATTTATCCTCCGCGACCCACACACACACACACACACACACACACACACACACACACACACACACACACACATATATATATATATATATATATATATATATATATATATATATATATATATATATATATATATTTACTAGCAGCATGGCCCGGCGTTGCCCGTGCTTGATTCAAAAATCGTGCGACTCATAACTTGCAATCGCTATCACTTGACTTAAAATATTTTTGCCCTTTCTTGCCTTTAAAGGAGTGCCCTATTCGTGGCAGCTCTCACTCTGGCCAGCAGAAAATGGCCGCAAACTACATGAAAACTGCCGTAGAAGCATGAAAATATCGATTATTTCCACTATCGATGAGAGTTGGGAAATGCAACGTCGGTCTTGGCCTTCCCGCTAACTTGGAGCATGTGCATGTAAATTTTGGTGCAAATCCGTCGAAAATTGTGGCCATGCATTCGTTACACACACACACACACACACACACATCCTGCCTTTTATAAATAGCGGTATGTTTTGTTTTGTTTTTTATTAAATCATGGCAGAATTTTTTTTTTCATATGAATTACCTAGCTCCTAACTAATTGCACAAAAACTCTATAATTTCTATTTTGGGAAGGTTAGTGATTATATTAGTTAAAAGCGCCAGGCTTTGAGGAAACCAAATCATTTTTTTTTTTTTAGTTGGACCACCTCTACCTGAAAATCGTGTCTGAATTAATTTCAAAAGCTTTTAATTGCTTCTATTTATTTCAATGATCATGGACAATATTGTCTGAAAGCAAAAAGATATTTCGATGAAAAATGAATTTTTAAAACAATTATGCTATTTCTGAAATATTTTATTATATTTACATTAAATGTTGTTAATTCTTCTAAAATTAGGGAAAAATTTGTAAAATTTAACGAATGTTGTTATTAAGTAGATATATATTTACAGATTATAATTTCCAAAGCTTTTTACAAACTAACGAACAACAGTATATAAAAAAATATAATTTGTATCAATAATAACACTGTAAATCAAATCTAAGGAAAACCGGAAGTATCATGCGGGGTAAAAGAAAAAAAGTCACGTGGATTGTGTTTCTGTCTAGTATTTTACTTAAAGCCTGAATTTTTAATACAATTATTTGTTATTTCTTTAATTATAATAGATTTTTACATTTAAGTTAAAATATAAAATTAGTTAAAATCCGCATTCAGTTTCGTAAATGTCCTTTTGAGATATAGATTTATTTTTGCGAAACACGTGTGGAGAAGTTAATTTGATTTTTCAATTTCAACTGAGAAGGGTACCTGCAAGTATCAGTATCATCTTATGAAATTTATATGATCTTATTTTTATATTAATCTCAGGTATGACATTTTTCCATAAATGAAATATCAAAATTAATAATAAAATCAATGGAAATACAAATAACACAGTAAAATGTAATAAATGTACATAAAATTATAGTATTTTATGAACACTTCTGATAAAATTTCATAAGAAAGGTACCTATAAATTAATTAGATACCTTTCTTATGAAATATGAAGTTTAATCTCACTCTTAACAGTCTTATTTTAATTTCTTTATAATATATTTTTCATAAAGCATCGTAACCGTGAAGGTGAAAACTAAGTACAAAAAAAAAAAAAATTAAAAAAATTAGAGCGCTGAAATTTTCCCTAAAAATAACGAGGTAAATAATTTGTTTACTTAAATGTAAATAATTTCACTTTTCTCCTTCCGTAGATCAAATTAGCCTCACGGAATCCGTCAATATGTCATTCATCACCTGTCAAGTGACGCGAAAGTTTATGTCCGACTTTGTTTTATTTTCAAATTACATCTTTTCGGCGTAGAAGTTAAGCTTGGTTCAAAATATTTTAAATAAACATTATAATTTATGATTTTCTTAAAATAAGTTTTGAGAAAAATGATAATTGATGTTTAAAAGAATTTCAAAGTGAGATTTCCATTTTCTTTATAAAATGGAAAAAAATGGTCAATTTTGCTGACCAAAAAAAAAAAAAAATTTGTAACGAAAATTTCGGACGTGCTAGGAACGATTAAAAAATGTAAAAAATACCCCCAAAATATTTTGATCTTTCCTCTTGATAATAACATAAACATATAGACGATAAAATTTTCTTTTCATCAAATTTAGTGTCTTTTTCATCATGCTATGCTCTTTTTTTAGCGATCTCGTGGCGGTACCTATCCTAAAGCTAGTAGCAAATTTTATTCTGGGTGTGGTCCGAATATTTATCATATTCGGTCGGGTCGCCCATCGAAGAAGTCTGTTGTTTATTTAGACCCGAAACTTCTAGTGACATGGGAGCAACAACACTGACGATAATAATGATAATAATAATAATAATAATAATAATAATATATATATATATATATATATATATATATATATATATATATATATATATATATATATAAAAAAAGAGAAGAGAAGAGAGGTGCCGCAAACTTTTTTGGTTGTAATGTGGATTTATTTAGAAAAAATATTACTAATGGTGGTGCAATTATAATAATGATAGGTGCAATTATTTTGATGGTATCTTGAAATTAAATTGTGATTGTTGGTGGTTTGTCTGTTTTATCCGTTTGGTATGAATTCGGATAATAGATACTTGTTCTCATGCCTACATTTGGAGATTATCTCCAAATGTAGGCATGAGAACAAGTATCTATTTATACCAAGGATTTATACCAAAATAAATTAATACATATAACAAAATAAAACAAAGATAAAACACCAACAACCACTTTTTAGTTCAAGCTACCACCACTATAACTACATTCATGGTTTTATCATTCTCCCACCACCGTTACTAATCATTTCTACCAATCTGCAATTTCTTCCAGTTTACAATAACTATTAGCTAAAACCTAAATAGCATTGTCTCCAATCCTTTGAAACATTACTATCACATCATATCATATAAACCCGTTATTAAATTAAACATCACCATATAAATTAAACAATAAGGATTACAATTTTTTACCTGTTACATATACACAGTCACCAAAAACAAACAAATAACCAGCTTTAAATATAACAAATAAACCCCATTTTTTTTCAAAATTTAAAATAAATATAAATAATTTAATAATAATTTTTTACCTATCATAATTTTACACAAACCCCACCACACATATATACATACATGCGAGAAAATATTTTCAAATATTTTTCAACGGAAAAAAAAAAAAAAAAAAAAAAAAAATTTCATAATATGACATGGATACATTCACGAGACAATAACGAGACATTTCCGGTACTCTTCCAATGTTTAAATTTCAACATTTCAACATACAAATGCGTATGTATAGACATAACACCACCCGTATACATACATGTGTCATAGCCGAAACTGTCTGCATATGTTTATATATATGTATGAGTCCCGACGGACGACCAAGTATGTATATGTATATGTGTCTGCATACATCGATGTTTGCGTTAGTACGATGAATGACAAAACGACGAAATCTCCCCCACCACTTCCACAATAACACCAATACACGCAATCTACATAAACCCAAATTTTTTAAAACAGTAATCAGTTTGTCTGACGATCGCTAAAGCGTGAAACCCAGGGTCACAAACTCACATCTATCCAACCAAATATGTTAGCTCTATCTCTGATATTGAGCGCTTTCTAATAAGTACCATGCATATAATATATAAATAATTATACATATATATATATTTATTTATATTTATATTCACTTTTCATATATATATATATATATATATATATATATATATATATATATATATATATATATATGTCATCGTGCAAATATGTCGATATCAGTTCTTTCTTTAAAATTATATTTGATAAAGTTTTCTTTATTATGTTTTTTTTTTTTTCCCAGACATAAAAATACACAAATACAAACATGGAGATAAATAGATAGATAGATTTCCTTATGACGTCTTCGTTGCTTACGCGCTCTGTCTTTGGTATTGTCACCATCATTCTGGATTACCCTATTTCTATTACTTCCAAGACTTCTGTTCATCTATGGGAAACTGTCCAGAATTTGCTTGTCTGATATGAGAATTGATAATATATAATAATTCAATACTCTAACCGTTGTTTCAGACGACATTTTCCTGTTACTTATCACTTTTTTCTTACCTGTTGGAATAGATCTTTTGCTATTCCAATTCGCGTTCGGATTTCGGTGACGCATTTTCATCCTCTGTTAAAACACTTCTCACATATTTAAATTCTCTACTTGTTTGCTTTTGACTTCTCCAATTCACAGTACACAGCTTGGGTATTTTCTCTTTCTTAGAACTACACATTCCTTCTTATAATTAATGGTTAATCCTTTCTTCTGGCTTTCCTTGGCTACCTTGCTTAGGAAGCCCTGTAGTTTTCCTTCTATGTTTGTTTTCAATACAGTGTCATCTACTATCTTGTACTGTTAAGATTGCGCCCACTGATAATAACTCCTTCTAAAATCACCACCACCTTTAGGATAGCCTTGAAGTAAAGGTTGAATCAATTCGGTGAAAAGACATATCATTGTCTTATGTCCCTTTCTATTTTTGTGTACCTATTCATTTTCTATCCGTATACAGGCGGTTTGTTCTCACTATAAGTTCATCATTACTTTAACATCCTTCCCATATAAATCATTCCTTTTTCTTTAGCAATTCAAATAGATTTTTGTGTCGTATCTTATCAAATGCTTTTGCGTAATCTGTAAAACTTACATATACATCCTTCTGCTTTTCTATTGCTTTTTTCTGATATCATTCTTATTATAATCCAGATTTTTTTTGCAATGTCTTTACCAAAACCATGTTACCCTTGACGCCTTTCCAGTTTAATTATGTGTCAGGCCCAATTCATTAGAATTCACTCGATTAACTTAGTTATGTGGTTCATAAAGCTGATTTTCCGATGAAACTCGCATTCGTTTGCATCTGTTTTTTTAGGTAGCGCTTCAAGAGATGAATCTACTTAGTTATTTCAGTAAATCGCCGTTAGGTGAACATAATTTGAGTTTTCATATAAACTAAATATAAAGAATTAGAAAAACATTTACATCGACTGTCAAGGTTTTGTAAGCGTCTATTATAAGCTGTAATAATTTATCAATCTTTAAAAATATTTCCTTGGTCTACATAAATTACATTTAATGTCTGTGGTAAAACAAATTAAGCAAATGAAGTAAATGTGTGAATAAATTTTTCTTGGTATTATTATCTACTTACAAAATATTTCGTACTGAATTCTGAGTTTATTTTTTCTGCATATTGACAAGGGTTGGGTAACATAAGGAGGACAGATCTCTCCCATTTTTAAATAACAATAGGTCATTCTATTCATTTGAACTCTTAAGGTTGTTGATTGTTGATTTGACACTACAAAGTCTTTTTTTGCATATAATGAAAGAGAAAAGGGGAATGTGCAATCACTAAATAAATTCCGGAAATAAACAATAAGGACCCATTTTAAGTATTACACGATTGAGTGAATTGTCAACAATCCCCATGTACTTATATGGTAATGATGTAAATCAGATATTCCACACTTGAATATTTATTAAAAACGGTGCCTGCTAAAACTATAAATTCCACTGGCAACTGAATTCAGACATTCGGGATTTTCTGACTGAGACAGGCAGACAACATTTGAATGAAACTGCGTCCTTCGACCGAAATCGCCTAAGTCCCCATGATGAATTCGCTCGTCGTAATTGCAATGTTTGCCCTGATTGGGTTTACATTTACATCAGCATCTGTCATAGATCGAAGTGATAACGAAATACCAGAATCAGTGGAAGGTAAGTACAGAAAATTGAAAATTTCTAGTTCCTCTCTTTTCTCTCTCTCATATACACATTACACAGACGCACGCATATACACATACACATAGATATTTCAATAACTTTGTTACCTCCCTTAACGTTTGCACTTGTATCTACATGATGAAGTTTAAAAATTTTACCGTACATAACCTTAGTGTTTTTAACACCACGACATAAAAGTTTAATTTTCAGATGAACAGAACAATTTTGTCTTAGAAAAATGAAGAACGCAACAATTATTTTTCTTAGAAAAAACAAGACCCTGATGTCGAAAGTTCTTGGAATAAAATGAATATGCATCAGCATGGAAATTTTCTTTCTTCCTTTAATAAGGATACTAAGAAAATTGTCCGTAATTATGAAAGGATACTATTAAAAATAAGTAGATAAAATGAATAAAAAACAAAATTAAATTATTTAATGAGACATGGCTTAATGAAAATATGCTGCCAAAATATACGCTATATATATATATATATATATATATATATTAAACACACACACAGGCACACATACATATATATATTATAATTTAACTGATTTAAAATAGTTTTTTTTCGCTACACAGTAATAACCATGTTTCAAAAATGGAAGCTAAACGCTTCGAATTTAATTTTTTAATTAAATTAAAAACATCAGTTCCATTTCATCCTCAAGCGAATTTTGGAGTAACTTATTTTTTAAATTTACTGAGTTTTAAAGGCACAGAAAAAAAAAATCTTAATTCACTGTTTCCAAGGATACAGAGAAATACACTCATCCAGAAAAGGGGTGGTAGCATGTTCATTTTTATCAACTTTTGTTGTATCAGTTATTAGTTACGTTCGAAAAAGGGGTTACGTTTAGGTAGAATTCTTACATCTGTTAAATGTATGTTTTTTTTTTTTAATTTTTTTATAGTTAACGGCAAAAATTCTTACGGCATTTTTTCTATTTGTATACTTGAAGATTTTTTAGGATGTTTAAGTTAGAATACTTTTTATTTAACTACAATTTTACAATATTTTCACATTTAATTTTTAAGAGACTATATTTCTTTTAAAACAAGTAAATGTACTAGAATTACTTACAGTATATAAAATTATTTTTTCATATCAAGTATAAATATGTATATTACCAGGTCACATTTTTAAAATTTTATTTTTAAATATTATTTAAGGAAAATTTTTGACAATGACGGCAAAAAATAGCTAATTCATCTCTCTGATTCAGTAAACTTTTATTTTTTATAAACTTAGTAATATATAGTTTCTCATTAATGTACCAAGGACATCGGTCATTTAATTGCATACATATTCTAGCTTTTCTTATTAATTTCATGTTACTGTAGGTATTTTATTGGATTCTTTTTATTGCTAGAAGTACTTTGAGAGTGATGTTTAGGTGAGAATACGTTTTATTTAACTACAATTTTAAAATATTTTCACTCTTAATTTTAATTGACTATATTTCTTTTTAAAACAAGTAAATGTAATAGAATTACTTACAGACATGTTTTAATATATATATATAATGGTGTGTGTGTGTCTGTATGTGTGTGCGTATGTGTAGTTATTTGTGTTTGTGTATAACGATATATATATATAACGATATATATATATAACGACATATATATATAACGACATATATATATATATATATATATATATATATATATATATATATATATATTTGTGTGTGTGTTTCTCTGTGTGTGTAAGTCTCTTCCGTCGTTTCTTTCGTATGAGTATATACACTGCGTGCCAAATTATTATCGAGATAACTTTTTCTAATATTTTAAAAACCGTCCAATCAATTCACACAGCACTTTCACACAATGTTGGCAACACTGAACTGTGCTGATCTGCGCAATGTAAACAAACTGGTGCAAATCAGTAGACTCACTAGTGCGCAAGAGGTTTCAGGGTGTGAAGGAATTAGGAACAGAAAAAGAAAAGAGCAATCAGGAGGACAGTAGATAGCGATTCAAACTGAGTTGTTTGGAAAGCATGGAGCCGGGAAGAAGTTTTGCAAGCGAGAAGTGCGAGAAAAGGAACTGTGAGCATAGAAGTTACGATTACATCTAACTAGATCAACTGTAAATTGATGAGATCTCGTTGCTAGTCTATTATTGCGCTTAAATTCATACAGTCTGGATGCCGAATAACTCATCCGAACAATGAACATGAAAGTATTTATTATAAAGGCACAGAGTGGCTACCTTACAGTGGTAGGCAAGTGACTAAATCCGACCCGCCAGATCATGACCAATATTATTGCTGTTACTTCTTTGGCTCTTATAAAGGAGTTCAAGGAAAATTGTAGGAGCACTGGGCCATATATAAGAGCAATATTCTAAGCATGGATGAATAGTAAGACTTACAGATATACAAGATACATTTTCAGAGAGAAAAACAGTCGCGCCCAACACAGTGAAACGACTTTGTTAGCAGCTGATCTAACGATTTATTCAATGTAATCTCTTCACTTCATGTCAGCTGAGAACGTGGGCTCGAGAAGGCGCAATGATTCACTTTCTTGGGTCTCTCAGATGATTAATGGAGATAAGTTTAGTTTTGGAGGCGTTAAAATTGACAAGCCATCTTTTGTGCCAGTTATCGACGGTTTTGATGTTTTGTATATCAGCTGCTATTTTCACTTTCTCTAACTGATTAGCCTTACTATCGAGGCAGGAATAAATGGTAGTGTCGTCAGCGTAGATGCTAAGGTGGGAGCTGATGTCATCGGGAATATGATTAATGAAGATTCAAAACAGCGTAGGACCAAAGATGGAGCCATGGCTGACACACACGTTATGATAAAATAAAAAACAAATCGGAAACATCTATCAGTCGAACATGTTTCACTTTTATTAAAGCTTCATCAGAAATTGACGGACATTAAAAAACTTTAATAAAAATGTTAGATTGATATAAGTTTTGTATCTGTTCCCTATTTTATCATATATATATATATATATATATATATATATATATATATATATATATATATATATATATATACATTTGTGCATGTGAAAATAAAGGGCGATGTACTGAAAATTTCTCCGAACTACTGACAAAAATCTAACCAAAGTACCAAACATCAATTTTTTTCGTGATGAGTATCCTTTATTTGTTTAGTCGAATATTTGTCTTTAATAGCTTATATATACATATATGTATTTATATGCATTTACATATATATATATATATATATATATATATATATATATATGTGAGTGTGTGTAAGTGTGTGTGTATGCGGGTGTGCATGTGGGTGTGCGTGTTCCCTTTTGTAGTTGGTTTACCTTCGACCATTATTATCGTTTTTTCAATCACAAGCAAAAGACAGGATTTTGGAAGCTGAATTTCAAAGCAGTCTTAGACAACAGCCCACGTAAAATACGATTTTTCTTCACCTTTAAAAGTTAGCACATGAGTGCATTTGTAAATTAAAAAAGATATTTTCTGCGGTGTGTCTAAATTTTATAAATGTCTATCGATTATTCTGTCTCCGAATTTTTGTTTGTTAGACCCAGATAGCCGTGACTGTCACACGACTGAGACACGTCGTAGATCTTAAAATGTAGCAGTCATCTGACCAGTCACCTGTGTCGTCAAAATAAAATTTATTAACATCACAATGTTTGCAAAGATGCCTTTTATCCAGGAGTCAGCAACTGAAGCGAATTTTGATTACAATGAAATAATATAAATCAATAAAAATTGAAAACGTAGTTATGTTTTCATTATTTTTTTTACTGATTTATAAATATATACCAAGTTCTCAGTGATTCATCGTAATGTAATTGTTAATGAACCGCTTCAAAAATAACTTGAAATACCGAAGAGTAAATTTATTCAATAAGATCACCATTGGCTTCAACCATGATCTCCAGATGACTTCGAAATCTCCTGCATCTCTTGTAGGCTATCTTGTTTGTTGGTGAATGCTTCTATAATCCTTACCTTCTGTTCATCTTGGTTACTCGCTCAACTGTGCCTCCCGCATAATAATCAAGAGGGTTGCAGTTTATTAAAGTTTTTATTCAAGCAATTTTTAAAAATTCAAGAATTCTTCAGGACATAGACGAACATGTTTCTGTACAGATTTCTTTACTTTAGTAAATGTCAATTGTCATGAGTTCTTGAGAATATATATAGTGAATTGGTTTATTGTTGCCTTCTCCGTGGTTTTGAATTCAGAGCTGTACTTCTTGTAGTCTAGATGTTACCCAAGGCTGCCGATTTTAAGCTGAGGGGGAGAAAAAAAAATCGAATTCATGCTTTTCCCTAGGGTTTTTGCAAGAAGCATACGCAATAGACTATGTCAGAACTTGAACTCAGACGGCTGATTTCACTTTCGGCGCTGATAACCGCTACGCTAACTGCACATCCATACAAGCGATAAAGATATGGCTAATGATTTCACTTACGAATGATATGGAAAAATTATTTGAAGATAACATTTGTTAGATGTTTTGTAATTATGTATCTATCTTCTCGTCCGTATGTCTCTTCTTGCTGTGCATAATTCTATACTTTAAGACTATCGGGGTATAATTTTAGTTGCATCTTCGCATCATTAAGGAAAAACCAATTACTTGCTGGTGATCATACCCTCCCAATGTTACATCGGACAAGTAACACTGAATTAAATTACAAATATAGAAGAATTCCATTTTGCTGTCTCAAGTCATCTCCATCAACCATCTTGGTATGCTATCAGTTAATTGTCATGACAAGTGGCAATGAGACAGCGTTCACAATATGGAGATTTATATCACTGCCATGATCATGACATTACAGTTTATGTTTTAGTTTGATATTTTGTACCAATAAGCGTTACACTACTTTGTACCTCCAATTTTAATTCTTTTCCTATTATTTATCTACGCTTTTCATTGCAGTTTACAGAAGCAGTCTTGAAAGTATGCTTCGAAACGTCTCTAAACTAATCGCAGAGAATGCTGACTTCGATGAGAATATGGATATTGACAGCTTTGATCAGGAAAATATGTTCGATGATGAACAGTTTCAATTTTTATCAGAAGACGCAGAAGAAGAAGAGGTTGAAGATAACATTTCAAATATCGATGATTTACAATCCGCAGAAGGCGTTAAAAGCGGAATACGTTGTTCATGGCGACGAACAGCTGGTCGTTGCTGCCAATCTCTGAAAATTTTCAGACGAAGAGTATCAAGTAAGTATCTATCTATTCATGAAGTTATAAATCTTGAAATATTTTTGTTGTTGCACGCAGTACAAAACTTTGTTTAAACAACAAACATGTAAATAATAAAACCACTGATATTAATAAAAATTTATTTAAACAAAACTATACATAATTTTGGAAAGAAAATATATTCTTTTTTGCTCTAATAATGAGCTTAGGATATCTATGCACAGTGGCGTAGTAATCATAAGTAAGAATCATATCTTCATCATTCAATTCTCAATTTATGGTGGTTCTTCTTTATTCGATGTTGAGATATAACTTTCAACAAAACGGATACATTTTCAGTTGAATCATTGAATTTTTATAATACCTGAATTTTAGCAATACCTGAATTTTAGCAGTACCTGTATTAAGCAATACCTCAATTTTAGTTACTGTGACACGATAACTAGGCGTCTATTAAAGTTGATTTGTAAAATATGTATTTTATTTTAATAAATTAAGAATAGAAAACGGTTAAGAATAGAAAAATAGTTTAAAAACATGTGTTTCGTTTAACAAAAGTACTAAGGGAAAAAGAAAAGGAAAAAATAAATAAATAAACGCTTTTTGAAGAGGTCTTTTAAATTTGTGGAAGAGAAAAGGGCATCAGATTACTGTTAAATCCTACCAGTCATCCAATAAAATATTTGACTAAGTGATTAGATGTGATAAAAGATAAACGTTTAGGAAATAGATTTTAAATGACCAGGTCAAAAACCTTCTTTACTGTATCTCAACAACACAAGGGAAATAAAGAAAAGATAACAGAATTTTCCCTTTCTCCAGGCAATAAAAAAAAAAAAAGGCTATAAAACATCCGACGGCCTTCACACGAAGATTTGTTAAGATAAAAAGATTTAAAAAAAAGTGGAAAATACATCGTTAGGAGGCCGATTACAGACAGGATTTTTTACACATCAAAGAAAGCAAAATTTAAGTACCTTGAAATTTTTAACTTACAGTCGCCAATGCTTATCTTTTGTTTTCACCCGGTGGTCTAGGGACTTCCGATTAGTTCAATATAAATACGAGTGATTTTTCCGAGCCGGGCAGTTCAGCCGGGTGTGTTTGAAGTAGCCACGTGTCAGGCACACTGAAGAAAGTGAAACTCCGTTCGTCTGAGTCGGTCGGTTCGGCATTTGATCTCCAGTAGTTAGAGTTAGAGCTGAGTGTCATCGCCTACCCCAACGGCAAGACTAAGTCTGGACGAAATAAAGCTTGATTAAACTCATCTAAGTTGTGGAGTTCGTTCCTTCAATGTTTATCTTGTGCCCCAGCTTGAGACTTCGACTTTTTTTGAACCAACCCCGGCAACATCACAGCGTGGAGAACGGCCGCCGGAGAAATTGTACGGAGCTCACAAGGGGTGCTACATTACCTGGATGATGAAATATGACTGCAAATTAAGTAACAAGGTCGCTAGTTGATGTACAAATCTTTAAATTCCAGACAAAAATTATTTCGCTTTTGAAAAAAAAAAAAAGAAATTGAAGACTAATATTTTAACTTATCTGTACCATTAACACTGTAACGGAAAGAAATTCAGAAAGGAATTTGCTCAAGTATTGGTTCACATTTTCTAGTCCAATTATTGTACACTAACAAAAATCATTGATAAAAATGGATTATAAATAATTTAATTAAATCATAAATAATTTTGCATTTTCTTGAATTTTATTTCATATTTATATTTTATACAAAAGATAAATTATTTTTATATTCATATCTTCGATAGAAAAATAGAAGATATTCACTGTTTAAAACTTATGTAGAAGAGAACTAGTTTTATCTAATATCTTATATCGAAAATGAATTATTAGACGTTAGCTTTAATATTTATATCTAATCTAAAAGAGATGACTTTAATGGTTCCTTCATATAAAGAAATACATTTGTCTACGAAAATTTAATCGCAAACACAGCTCAAGTGTTATTGCATATAAATGGTTTCATTCAAAATGGTAATGCTGAATGAGGTACCCGATATGAATGGAATAGAAAGTCGTAAGAACTGGTAGTTGCACGGTTAGGGAAGGGGTAGTTATGAGGATAGAAAAGAAAGATGGCAACTGAGTCTTGATCTAAAGAGGTCAAGATGGAACATAACAAAGTGGTAGTTATGAGGATAGAGAAATGGTAATTATGAGGATAGAGAAATGGTAATTATGAGGATAGAGAAATGGTAATTATAGGGATAGAGAAATGGTAGTTATCCGGGTAGAGAAGTGGTAGTTATGATGATAGTGAAGTGGTAGTTATGAGGATAGGGAAGAAAGATGGCAATTGAATCTTGATTTCAATATGTCAAGATCCATTACAAACTGGCAGTTCTTGAGAAAAAGCTAGGTGGACCTTTCTTCTTATTTTTGGAAAACAGAGAGAAAGAGCGTGATTTCCTATGAAAATAGCGTCAGACTTGTGACAGACTTGCAATGTTTTACAATGTTACACTTTTAAAATAAATAGCGCGAATCTTTTGTAAAGCTCGCATCGAAAACTTTTTTAAAATGATATTGTAGTCTTAACTGAAAAGCAAAAAGATTAAGACGTGATAACTTTCAGAAAAGTTCGAAAGGAAATCAATGATAAATATTATGCACCAACAATGATAATAATGGCGACAAATTTCAACGTAAAATACAATAATAATGCCTTTATATAATAATGCTTTTATATAAACAATAATAATGCTTGTATATAACAATGCATGTATATACACAATATATAGTTAAATGTGTACAAAATCTTCTAAATTTTCCGAAAAAGAACAACATCAGAAATATTTTGATACACCTTGTAACGACAAAAGTACGCAGGTGTAGGCTTTAAGAAAGCTTTATTCAATTGAGAATACAAATTTCGCGTATAATGTCTTTTTACAGACCCAGTAAATAGGAGCTCTCCCCAAAAGGAGAGTAACAAAACAATGGGAGACCACTCTTGATTATTCATAACACACCAAAAAATTTAATGTGGGAATTATTTTATTAAAATGCTAAGAGAAATCATGATTATTATTTAATAGAATACTATAACCTATATATTTTTTTTGTATTTTAATAACAGTTTGTTTGGGCATCAGAATTTCATCTGCAACTTCTGCTAGACTGTACCTGAGAATCAACGGTAGAACCATCTGGTCCAGGCGTATGGGTAAGTATTTGTGAATTTAATTAAAACACCACTTAGGGCTTATAAAAACAACAGCCTCCTTACCTCAGAAATTAAAAGTAAATTATACAAAATTTATAAATTGGCATTACGATATATATATATATATATATATATATATATATATATATATATATATATATAGATAGATAGATAGATAGTAAAATTAAAAGTTAATAACACTATCAAAAGGGTGCGTTACTAAATTAGTGAAATAAAAAAATCGTGCTCGATACAAAAGTAAACTGGTAGAGAGAATTATATTCTTAAAAGCTAAGACGCTAAAAGGATACAACCGTGGTTTCAACCATAATAGGTATCAGGCAGCACTTCCAGTGTCTAAGTTGTTGACAATATATATAAAGACAGTCACTACTTAGGAGGTGGAAAAGTATGACGGGAAAATTATTTTATACAGGCTCATAAATCTCTAAATTTTCTTACTGTCTGCATTTTGCCATTATTTCAGATCTTTCCTTATCAATTCACTCTTATCAGTATGAGTTGCAATGGCCAGTTTCTCTTGGCGTAAATTGCATGATCCACCAATTATATTTTTGCCCGTTCTTGTTGTAGAATCCTCCATTTGATATTGGGACTTTTATTGTATTTTTCTTTAAATTTCCACCGATAGTTTGCGAGCCTTATGTTGAATCATTTATGTTGGACCCTAAACTAGGAATATGGTTATGCCATCTCCATTTAAACTGGCCCTCTTTATAACCAATATATATACCATTATCGCTCTCTATGTCAGCATAGTACTCCAGCCCTTGCTTATAACACTTCCCATTTGACGGACAATTGTCTTTCTTTCTGTAGTTGCACAAAGTTGTATTACCACGTCATTGTTATACTGCTTCTGCGTATTTCTTCTGTTAAGCCCCTGAATTATACTATTAAGGTTGCTAGTGCAACTGTTGCTCATTTTTACTATGTTTCAGTTAAACAATTTGCTTAATGCAAACCCTTTTGGTAAATGTTTTCTTAAAATCGTGAAGTACATTTTTCCGATATTTGTCTTTACCTGGATGTTAAATGGAGAATTGAACCAAATAACGTTAAGCTTTCTTTTGTTATTGTTATTCCTCGGATTTTGTTGGTTTTCAAATTTCAAATTAACTTTGTGGCCTTCCTCCTTCAATACACTTTTATATATCTTCTTCTTAGTATTAAATATTTATTTACTAGAGGAATTCGTACATAATCTGTTTTCTATCTCAAATGTGATGTGTTTTATAATATTTTTCAGGTGGTTGGATTTTACATATTTTAGATTCGCGTTGAGTTTTACAAACGGCGAAACTGTGTTGTTAATTAGGTTAAATTAAGCGTACAAAATTTGGACGACTTATTAACTTTTATTGTAATATAAAACTCCAGACTTTTAAATAACTTCTTTCTTATTGTGTCGTTCTTTTGACTGTTATTCGTTATCACAATGAGTCCATCATCTCGGTATAAACTATGATCGTCAATTTCGTTAATTTTTTTTCAATAAGAAAATACCCATTAGTTCCGACACCCACGCACCATTGTATGATCCTTGTGGTATGTCGAAGTTACCGTCATTGGAATTTTTAATTCACGCTTCGCTTTTGAAAAACAGCACCGACTTGCGACAATGAAGAGTTACGTCTATACATTTTGGTTTTAAATCAACGTACTCTTTAGCAAAGGCCGAGGCTTTCATCAGAATGTTTTTGGTAATAGAAGGATAAAAATTCTTAATATCACAGTTTATGATTATGTTTTGGCTTTTATTATTTATAGCACAAAACTAGGCAATACAGTCAGCAATGCTGGTCCATTTGTTTATTTGTGTGGAAACTTTAAGTAGTTTGAATGCATCATTGTGTAACTGCAAAAAGAAAGAAAATTGTCCTTAAAATGGGGAGTGTTGTAAGCAAGAGGTGGTACAATGCGCTAACGTAGAGAGCGATAATAGTACTGTCAAGAAATATATTGCTTGTACAGAGGGCCAGTTTAAAAAGAAGTGATATAACCATATTTCCTAGTTTAGGGTTCAACATGAACGATTCAATACAAGGCTCACAGACCATTATTGAAAGTTCAAAAGAAATACAATAAAAGTCCCAATATCAAATGGAGGATTCTACGAGAAGCACGGGCAAAAATTAACTGGTGGATCATGCAATTTATGTCAATAAGAGAAACTGGTCATTGCAACTTTTTACAGGGAATTGATTATTGAAAAATCTGAAATAATGGCAAAACGTAGACACTTAAGAAAGTTTATATGAGTGAATTATGAGCCTTGATGAGATAGGCAGATTATATTTTTCCCTCATACTTTTCCTTCGCCTTAGTTTTGACCGGATTTGATGCCTGATCATACCTATTGTGCTTGAAACCACGGTTGTATCCTTTTAGCGTCCTAGTTTTTAAGAATATATATATATATATATATATATATATATATATATATATATATATATATATATATATACAGATATACATATACAGATAGATAGATACCCAAAGGTATATAAATATTTTATCGTGCAATGGTTAAAAATTAACAAATTTTGTACAATATTTTTTTCCTTCTTTTTAAATGCACAGGATTCCATATTTAATATCCATCACAGAGTAGAATGTGGTAACATGAATTAATTTCATCAACAGTTGACGTACGTTAGCATTTCGAACCACTCGTCAGAATGGTCAGAAAAAAAAACTCTTGACTTCTATGTAGAAAGAAAGAATGAACGAGCGAGCGAACAATGCTATTGTAATTCTGATATTTGAGCTTTATCAAAATCTCTGCCTTGTACGCTAAAACTTTGACGAGTGTCAGATGAAATTACACCAGATTTTTTGAGTTTGTGGGATTGTCCGACGCTACTTGCACCAGAAAATTTAGAAAAAAAAAGATGAAAAACAGTCGTTTAATTTGGCCCTTTTATAGTCGGATTACAGGCTGATGGACCAGCAATCAATAACTTCTATCTTAAAATTCTTACAGAAAGAATGATGAAGAGGTGGGGTAAAAATAAATTCAGAATTACGTACCGCATATAAAAATTAAAGCATTAAAACTGAGAAATTGCATCTGACATCTGAAATCGAAGTAACGTTGAATTTTTACGAATATAAGTTATCCTTGGATCAGATTGCGAAATAAATTATCCTTGGATCAGATTGGTTGAATATTTGTTAATCATTGCATTCCCTTTATATTATTTTGGGTAAATTTGCTGATAAGGTACTTTTGTTTATTCAGGAGTTCGCAGCAGGAGTTTTACCATATGTAGACGTCTTGGACCGGTGAAGATTTGCTTCAAACTTTACAACTTGTACATTTCTAGACGTACCATTAGAGTTTGCCTCCGTGTCGGCGCAAGACTATCTTGGTTTCGCTTTGGTAGAAACTTGGGATGTGTTTATAAAAGGTTTGCCTTGGATGGAATCCCGACAAACATAAATAAATCAGATTCATTCAATGATTATAGAAATTATAAGAACTCCTTGACTTCAAGTGGATTTAAGTATAACGACAATATCGCAAGATTCGAACAATAACAACATCAAAAAAATGGATCGTGGCTCATCCGAACAAAATATTTCCGGTTCAATCCCATCAATATTCCCATTTAAAGTACCAGTGTAATTCTTTTGCAAATAAAATCAAATGAAAATCTGACTTTTGGTTGTTGTTTTTAAATTCGAATCCACAAAATTTAACATATTCCGTCTTCTACTGTATTCGATCGACAGCCGATAGAATACGCCAGGATGAATTGGTTACCCTTTCGGTTTCCTTTTTGCATATCACTTGCTTACCTGTTTTGTTGTTTATAATTGCAACACCCAGAAGAATTCACCTGTGGTAAATGATCCCTGTTATTTAATTCAATACTACATTTTTATAAAACCATTTAAACATTTTCTACCGCCCAGTTCTTTTATTTTGCTCAAAAGTAGTTAATCATCACACATTTTATTTATTTTAACATTGTATCAAGTTTGAATTTTAAAACTGTAATATCCAGATAAGACAATAAAATTTATATTTAATACTGTATCCAATATTATATGCAATAAAATTATGTACTGAAATTTTCAATTCGTTAAAGCTAACAAAAGAGTTCTGAACTGCTGTGTTATTTCTAATCTCTTATATGTTAGTGAAAGCTTTTCACGTTCACCACAGATGTAGAAGAGACTTGAAGCAACAGAAATTTCGTTCTTCTGACTAGTGATGAGTCTTCGTGTCTCTGTCAGTTAATCTTTCCACCCACACTATGGTTAAATTTTTGATCTGTGGAAATCTTAGGCGAATCTGGTTGTAATAGCTTCAAGTGCGAAATGATTCAGTTACAAGAAAAGTAAAAATCAGAACAGACAACCGATACTTGGTGTTAGAAACAATAAAATAGAGTTTATTTGTTGAGCATTACAGTTATTAAATAAACCCTTCCCAAATTCTGAGGCTGTCGAACTAACTACAACCTGTTGGTAGGTGTCAATCTTATTCATAAGATTGCAAAAAAAAAAAAAAAAAAAAAAAATAAATAAAAAATATTAATGTCTTTATCTGGTGACTGATAATCGGTTTAATAATTAAAACAGGAGACTTTGGTTCCGAGCCTGCAGACAAAGTTGTTTTCACTTGATTGCCAGTTTGCAAACGAAAAATCTTAGTCTTCAGAAATATTTCCAGTTGACTCAAATTCTTTTCCGATGTATCTTACAAAAGGTCGTGGCGAAGAGGATTGTTACATTCTCGTTCCATTTGATTTGATATCTTCATCTACCTGTGACTATTCTGCTTCTCGTAATAACTGCCCCGTCTCGATTGACCGTGTAACTACACCCGTTTCATATACATAAAGTGTACTTTCTTTCAGGAGTTAAGTTACACCAGGAAAAACACAAGTACTATATATTGGAAATTAAAATAAATTATAGAAAATTCATAAAATAATGTTATAATAGATAGATAGCTAACGAAATATTTTCGTAGCCTAATGATGAATCATAATTTATTTTACACAAAAATATTTATTTTTCAACATAATCTCCTTTCTTCTTAACGCACTTAATTTTTTCTTAAATATTTAACACAGTCATCATAAATAGATGAGTTTTGACTACCTATTATCACTGTCCTGTCTCGACTGGTAACTGCTCCAGACTTACCTTCTTCTGATGACTGACTCTGACTCGACGGCTTGTAATGATTGTGCCGTCTTGACCACGCGTTTAACTACACACGTCTCGTATAATTGTAGAATACGTTACTTACAGGAGTTAGTGTAAAAGTTGATTTACATATGGGCTTAGCAACAGGATCAAAGGAAGGGAGCTGATGACTTCACAGTTCAATTGGATGAAACTGGCTTGTATCATTCAATACTTGCATGTCCTTGAGCTCCATTCCCACTCAAAAAAAAAAAAAAAAGAAAAAGAAAAAAGAACACTCTACTTAAAGTTAGTAAAGCGTTCTGGACAGTTACTTGCACCTATTGTATCATTGTAATAAAATTCCAATCTATGGTCTTAATAAATAAGTAAAGAAGACCGAATATGTATTTTATATTAGATATTGTTAAATCACCAACATATCCGGCAGATCTATTGCATTTGTCCAAGAATAAACGCAAAAAGAAAAGAGCGGATGAATTGGTGGCCATATTAGATCTGCTATATTATCAAATTGTAAACCTCACCTCTCATCTCTTCACGTACACACTTTGCTAGCTTGGTTGATTTGTTACAGGTTATCTGGCTTCCTTTTCCCTTCTCGGTTAGGGCCTTTGTGTGGTCTCGATAGGGTTGATTCAAGTTTCCCAATATCTTATGAGATTGTCGGCGATGTCTTGTGCCAACCCCTCTAGATACATTGTGCACCCTTGTTATGAAGGTGTAATTCTCAACTTACGGCCGTGATAAGCCTTGTCTCCTTGTGTACCTGGTCAGCTCCGAATTAGATTGGAATAAAACCCCCTTCAGTAAAATTTAATACCTTTAAAAGCAGGTTTATTGAATATAAAGAAAAACTGGACTGCATTGTCTACTGAAGGCCTAAACTCTTTACTGGCTTCTTTTAATGAGTAGTTTCTGGACACAATCTTAACAGTACAGTGTAACCCGGATATAAGAGAGTTGTCGGGACCGGAGAAGAAGTCTCTTATATCCGGATTTCTCTTATATCCGGGTTTGGTCTAATTTATATACATTAACAAAGGCTCTAATTTGGGACCAGAGAAAATCTCTCTTATATCCGGGTTTCTCTTATATACGGGTCTCTTATATCCGGGTTACATTGTATAAGGTATGCATATGACGCAGTATTGATAGCAGCTGGAGAAAGAAAACTGTAGAATATTCTACAGGGGGAGGGGGTCGTAGAGGAAAGTGAGAAGAAATTAACCATCACTTATAAGAAGACATTGGTTGTCAATGAGAGAAACAATCCAATATACTAACTCCAAATTGGAGATACCAGTATGAAGCAAGCACAAAAATTTAAATATCTGTCGATGGTTTCCTCAGAGGATGGAAAATGTAACACAGAAATCTGAAGGTACATTTGAATAATGAAAGATGTTTTCCAAATGTTAAGCAATGTATTAATAGTCAGATTTCATTAGAAACAAAGACTGAACTGTTATGAATTGTTATGTAATGTCGTCATTCCTGTGAATGCTGTACAATCTCCTCACAGATGAAGAAACTTGAATCAACAGAAATGTAGTTCTACAGAAGAATGCTAAGAATACCATGGACTGAACATGTAAGTTGGAAGTTTTAAGGAACACGGAAAGAAAAAGGATACTTAGAATGAGAAAGAACTAGTTGAAATGTCTCAGATACATAATGAGAAAAGAGGGCTTGGAGAATTTGACCTTCACAAGACATACTGAAAGCAAGAGAAACAGTGGAAAGTAGCGACTAACCTATCTAAAGCGCTTATGTAAATGGATTGTAGAACAGGGAATGAGAGGAATTGTGAAAGAGACTAAGTGCTATAAAGGTTCGGAAGTCATGGAGATCCATGATCACCCTCGTCCTGAAATTAAATGGCGCATAGAAGAATTCGGCACGTATATGAAATTTATAATTTGCATAGACATTCCAGCAAAAGAATGACGAATAATAAAGAATCAATTTTTGAATTATTAACATTAAATTCCTTATATCTGTTTACAGGCCTAAGCCACCATCTTATTTTCTTTAAACACATTTTCTATGTCACTATAAATAATATTATATTAATTGTTAATAATGCAAAATATTATTATTGATTAATACAGGTTTGCTCTCATGTAATTTCACTTAGAAAACAAGCCTCAACCTCAAGTAAATAAATCTAATATTGTCGTAAATATGAAAATGGTGAAAATGTAAGCGTGATAGTGAGTCTCACATTTCGACGCTTATCAGACGATCACATCAATGTGAAAATGTAATAGTCACGTTTATATATATATATATATATATATATATATATATATATATAGTTTATAAAAAACTAGGTAATCCGTATGGGTAAACCTAAGGAGGATAAAATCCAGAGAGCTCAATGTAAATTCAGAGCAAATAATTTAAATAAAAACAGACCACTTTAAGGTTCCATGTAATAGGGCTGATTTGGGCTTCCCAATATCATAAGAAGTCCTTCCACACACTCTGTAGGGTCGGGGAGGTCTTGATTTTCTGAGACTGTCACTCGTGGTCTGACCTTTGCATATTGGATAACGTAAAGGGGTTTATAGTGCTGTGGAGATAAGGGAATAACTTCTCCGTCGTTTCTAGTCTGACTAACCTGTCGAATTTCTGCTCTAGTCAACATTTTGCTCTGGTGTTCGACATTAGCAAGGCCTGCCACCATTTGTCTTGCTACCATGTCGCTGGTGTAATTCACTGGAGAACCGCAGTTTGTTGAGCTTGGGCAAGTAACTATAAACCCGCAAAATTTTGCCCGGGCTCGTAACTGAGCTAAAAAAATGTGTGATTGACAGACTGTCTGTCTGCCTCATACACTGAAAGTTCTGCCTGTGCACTTCTGTGTGTAGCCGCACCACTCCGAGCGACGAGCCGTATTTGCCCTAGCAGCTGTTCTGTGCTAGAGTTGATTGTTCGGCCCCCATTTGGTCGAATAGCAGATTCTTAACCTCTGGTTATACGGAATACGGCAAAATTCACCTCCTATGCTTCTATAGAGTCATCCCAGAGTATGCTATCGTCGACACATAGGGGTCTTCGCATCATATCGATAGTTATATCGTCGAATCGACGAGTCTATGCATATTTCCCGACGCGTGGCACGTAGGTTTCGATATTTGCCCATTAAGTGATGTAGTTGCATCATGTGCAGCTGGGGTGAGGCTGTGGTACCCATTCTATGCGTCCAGGACAGTTTTCCTTGTGTGTACTGGCGTAATCGAGGCATAATTAAACGAAGATGGGGCATGATGGGTCTCCCACGGGATAACAGCTTTGGGTGAGTCGTCCTCAGCTCGTTCTGGATAATTACTTTGCCCATTAGATCGCACATCATTTTATAACGAGTCAAAGTGTTAATAAACATCACCCAGTCGTGTTCTGTTGGGTCCGGTCCTATCGTAGGTCGTTCCGGTTTTCTGTTATGAGACGTGTTTGGTTACCCTTTCTTAGAGTGATGTTTTCCTTTTTTAGTTCAGCAAGTTGTTGCATAAACTGCAAATATTGTTGATCTATAGTGGGTTTCGTTTTCATGTTTTCAAAGTCGTCAATTTCAACGTTGGTATTTTATGCCGTTCTAAAAAAAAAAAGGAACCTATCCGCAGCACCATGTAGAGTGTTTGAGTGACGATTGAAATCTGTCCATCCTCCAATGCTTTCCCGC